TGGGATCGATCCGAAATCAATAGGTGTAAGAAATTGGACAATTCAAGTTCAAAGGCAGTTCGTTCCAAATTGGAGTGGTTGAGGAAACTCATAGTTTTGGCGATTGGATTTCACTCAAAACACACCAAATGACTCCTCCCACCATATTATGATGTTGCCCAAGTTTTGGGCTCGATCCGAAATCAATAGGATGACTCCTCCCACCATATTATGATGTTGCCCAAGTTTTGGGCTCGATTCGAAATCAATAGGTGTGAGAAATGGGACAATTCAAGTTCAACGGCAGTTCGTTCCAAATTGGAGTGGTTGGGGTAATTCATAGTTCTGGCGATTGCATTTCACTCAAAGCACACCAAATGACTCCTCCCACCGTATTATGATGTTTCCCAAGTTTTGGGCTCGATCCGAAATCAATAGGTGAAAGAAATGGGACAATTTAAGTTCAGAGGCAGTTCGTTCAAAATTGGAGTGGTTGGGGTAATTCATAGTTCTGGCGATTGGATTTCACTCAAAACACACCAAACAACTGCTCCCACCGTATTATGATGTTGCCCAAGTTTTGGGCTCGATCCGAAATCAATAGGTGTGAGAAATTGGACATTTCAAGTCCAAAGGCAGTTCGTTCCAAATTAGAGTGGTTGGGGTAATTCGTAGTTCTAGCGATTGGATTTCACTCAAAACACACCAAATGACTCCTCCCTACATATTATAATGTTGCTCAAGTTTTGGGCTCGATCCGAAATCAATAGGTGTAAGAAATTGGACAATTCAAGTTCGAAGGAAGTTCGCTCCAAATTGGAGTGGTTGGGTGTAATTCATAGTTCTAGCGATTGGATTTCACTCAAAACACACCAAATGACTCCTCCCACTATATTATGATGTTGCCCAAGTTTTGGGCTCGATCCGAAGTCAATTGGTGTGAGAAATTGGATAATTCAAGTTTAACGGCAGTTCGTTCCGAATTGGAGTGGTTGGTGTATTCCATACTTCTAGCAATTGGATTTCACTCAAAACTCACCAAACGACTCCTCCCACCATATTATGTTGTTGCTCAAGTGTTGGGCCCGATCCGAAATCAATAGGTGTAAGAAATTGGACAATTCAAGTTCAAAGGCAGTTCGTTCCAAATTGGAGTGGTTGGGGGTAATTCGTTGTTCTGGCGATTGGATTTCACTCAAAACACACGAAATGACTCCTCCCACCATATTATGATGTTGCCCAAGTTTTGGGCTCAATCGGAAATCAATAGGTGTGAGAAATTGGACAATTCAAGTTCAACGGCAGTTCGTTACTAATTGGAGTGGTTGGTGTATTCCATACTTCTAAAGATTAGATTTCACTCAAAACAAACCAAATGACTCCTCCCACCATATTATGATGTTTTCCAAGTTTTGGGCTTGATCCGAAATAAATAGGTGAAAGAAATTGCACAATTCAAGTTCGAAGGCAGTTCATTCCAAATTAGAGTGGTTGGGGTAGTTCATAGTTCTGGCGATTGGATTTCACTCAAAACACACCAAACAACTCCTCCCACCGTATTATGATGTTGCCCAAGTTTTGGGCTCGATCCGAAATCAATAGGTGTGAGAAATTGGACAATTCAAGTTCAAAGGCAGTTCGTTCCAAATTGGAGTGGTTGGGGTAATTCATAGTTCTAGCGATTGGATTTCACTCAAAACTCAACAAATGACTCCTCCCACCATATTATGATGTTGCTCAAGTTTTGCGCTCAATCCAAAATCAATAGGTGTAAGAAATTAGACAATTCAAGTTCAAAGGCAGTTCGATCCAAATTGGAGTGGTTGGGGGTAATTCATAGTTCTGGCGATTGGATTTCACTCAAAACACACCAAATGACTCCTCCCAGCATATTATGATGTTGCTCAAGTTTTGGGCTCGATTTGAAGTCAATAGGTGTGAGAAATTGGACAATTCAAGTTCCACGGCAGTTCGTTCCTAATTGGAGTGGTTGGTGTATTCCACACTTCTAGCGATTGAATTTCACTCAAAACTCACCAAACGACTTCTCCCACCATATTATGATGTTCCTGAAGTTTTAGGCTCGATCCGAAATCAATAGGTGTAAGAAATTGGACAATTCAAGTTCAAAGGCAGTTCGTTCCAAATTGGAGTGGTTGGGGGTGATTCATAGTTCTGGCGATTGGATTTCACTCAAAACACACCAAAAAACTCCTCCCACCGTATTATGATGTTGCCCAAGTTTTGGGCTCGATCCGAAATCAATAGGTGTGAGAAATTGGACAATTCAAATTCAAAGGAAGTTCGTTCCTAATTGGAGTGGTTGGTGTATTCCGTACTTCTAGCGATTGAATTTCATTCAAGACACACCAAATGACTCCTCCCACCATATTATGATGTTGCCCAAGTTTTGGGCTCAATCCGACATCAATAGGTGTGTGAAATTGGACAATTCAAGTTCAACGGCAGTTCGTTCCTAATTGGAGTGGTTGGTGTATTCCGTACTTCTAGCGATTGAATTTCACTCAAGACACACCAAATGACTCCTCCCACCATATTATGATGTTGTCCAAGTTTTGGGCTCGATCCAAAATCAATAGGTGAAAGAAATTGGACAATTCAAGTTCAAAGGCAGTTCGTTCCAAATTGGAGTGGTTGGGGTAATTCATAGTTCTAGCAATTGGATTTCACTCAAAACACACCAAATGACTCCTCCCACCATATTATGATGTTGTCCAAGTTTTGGGCTCGATCCAAAATCAATAGGTGAAAGAAATTGGACAATTCAAGTTCAAAGGCAGTTCGTTCCAAATTGGAGTGGTTGGGGTAATTCATAGTTCTAGCAATTGGATTTCACTCAAAACACACCAAATGACTCCTCCCACCATATTATGATGTTGCAGAAGTTTTGGGCTCGATCCGAAACAAATAGGTGTAAGAAATTGGACAATTCAAGTTCAAAGGCAGTTCGTTCCAAGTTGGAGTGGTTGGGGTAATTCATAGTTCTGGCGATTGGATTTCACTCAAAACACACCAAATGACTCCTCCCACCATATTATGATGTTGCCCAAGTTTTGGGCTCGATCCGAAATCTATAGGTGTGAGAAATTGGACAATTCAAGCTCAACGGCAGTTCGTTCCTGATTGGAGTGGTTGATGTATTCCATACTTGTTGCGATTGTATTTCACTTGAACCTCACCAAATGACTCCTCCCACCATATTATGATGTTGCCCAAGTTTTGGTCTTGATCCGAAATCCATAGGTGTGAGAAATTGGACAATTCAATTTCAACGGCAGTTCGTTCCTAATTAGAGTGGTTGGTGTATTCCATGCTTCTAGCGATTGGATTTCACTCAAAACACACCAAATGACTCCTCCCACCATATTATGATGTTGCAGAAGTTTTGGGCTCGATCCGTAATCAATAGGTGTAAGAAATTGGACAATTCAATTTCAAAGGCAGTTCGTTCCAAATTGGAGTGGTTGGGGTAATTCATAGTTCTGGCGATTGGATTTCACTCAAAACACACCAAATGACTCCTCCCACCATATTATGATGTTGCCCAAGTTTTGGGCTCGATCCGAAATCTATAGGTGTGAGAAATTGGACAATTCAAGCTCAACGGCAGTTCGTTCCTGATTGGAGTGGTTGATGTATTCCATACTTGTTGTGATTGTATTTCACTTAAACCTCACCAAATGACTCCTCCCACCATATTATGATGTTGCCCAAGTTTTGGTCTCGATCCGAAATCCATAGGTGTGAGAAAATTGGATTTCACTCAAAACTCACCAAATGACTCCTCCCACCATATTATGATGTTGCCCAAGTTTTGGGCTCGATCCGAAATCAATAGGTGTGAGAAATTGGACAATTCAATTTCAACGGCAGTTCGTTCCTAATTAGAGTGGTTGGTGTATTCCATGCTTCTAGGAATTGGATTTCACTCAAAACTCACCAAATGACTCCTCCCACCATATTATGATGTTGCAGAAGTTTTGGGCTCGATCCGTAATCAATAGGTGTAAGAAATTGGACAATTCAATTTCAAAGGCAGTTCGTTCCAAATTGGAGTGGTTGGGGTAATTCATAGTTCTGGCGATTGGATTTCACTCAAAACACACCAAATGACTCCTCCCACCATATTATGATGTTGCCCAAGTTTTGGGCTCGATCCGAAATGAATAGGTGTGAGAAATTGGACAATTCAATTTCAACGGCAGTTCGTCCGAAATTGGAGTGGTTGGTGTTTTCCATACTTCTAGCGATTGGATTTCACTCAAAACTCACCAAATGACTCCTCCCACCATATTATGTTGTTGCCCAAGTTTTTGG